AGGTCCCTGTGATAAGATAAAAAAATAATCGGAAGATCTTTTTAACTTGTGGTAACAGTGAGATAGAATTATAGTAAGAGACTGTTATCTCTCACGTCATGAGGAAACTGACTCTAGCGATTTATTCCATTCTAATACCAAAAACTAATACCACTGGTATTTGTTTCAATTCATATTTTTTTTCTATTCCGAACCGATACCATTGTTTTAACTAATACCAAAACAAGTTCAAAGATATAAGGTACAGTCAGTAAAAATGCTTTGTATGTAAATATAAGACTTTTAATTGAAAAAAAACAGATAACTCCAAAAAAATCAAATTTTGTTAGCAAACGTCTTGTTCAATGATAAAATATCACTTAAATAATCAACTTTAATATAATTTTAGTTCCTCTCTATACCTGTATAATATTTTTTTTGCAAAAACATCAAACAGGAAGAATTTACTTACAATCTAAAAATTACAAAATATCTCAAAAAATTAACTCTTAATTTATATTGAAATTTATCTGACATAGTTATTATTAGATAGGTACGTAATTATTCACGTCTACCTATCTCATAACAACTATGTCAGGTAAATTTTTAACAAAAATAAATCACTTTTTATCTAACAATTGTAAAATATCACAGAAAATCAACTTTTTGTATAATCAAATCAGTCATTCATCACTTACATAGCAATGAATCAGCAATTTTTTTTTGCAAATACGTCATATATGAATAATTCACTTATAATCTAAGAATTATAAAATATCACAGAAAATCCACTATTAGTATAATCAGCTAAATGACGTGTAAATAATTTCTTATATTTCAACAATTAGTAGCTAAACCCTTAATTTTTCTAAGCAGTGACCTACGGAGAATTTTGTTTTTGAGGAGTTGGTCAGTTACGTATGTGATCCACGAATTTTTCATAATAGTTGTCTGTGCACATCGTTTTGCGGGGGGTGCGTTTGATTTAGTAACAACAACAACAAAAGTTAGTAGTAACAAAATTTTGGTTGAGTAACAACCACTGTTTGTAAATCTGCGTCCTCTTTCAGCACGTTCAGTAGCTGATATAAATTAGCATTCTTTGGCACAGCCGAGTTTAATTTCTTATGCCAAGGTTCTACGGCATTTGTGGTTCGATGGAGTTCACCATGAACGCACCAAATGTCTACAAAACTCTCGTTCTCTAGCCAGTGTGACACCATGTAGTCATTAAATGTTTGAATGGCGTCAGTATCAGGACTGTCTTCCATTGTGTAGCACCATCCTTCTGATATGAATTTCCGAGGAAGTAAAGGCAGTAAAGCTGAAAGTCTAACGTGTCTTTGGGTGATAGCATCTTTTGTCAGATCCAACTGTTTTGCTTTTTTCCATACATTTTTGGAATAATGAAAGTAGCATCCGTTAATCACAACTGACGGAAAAACAATTGTAATGGCGTTCATTGCGGCTAGTTCAAAATCTGTTAAAAATTTTACGGGTTCCCACCCAGGAATGTTTTGTTTCAAAATTTCAAATAATTTTTTGAATGTTTCTTCTGTTTTTTTGTAAGAGGAACTATACGAGTGTGATCTTCGTCACTTCCCAGATCTCCGTGGATAGTATATAACTGCACAAAAGGCTCAGGGCTCTCGATTACATAAAAATATTGAAAAACAAATTTACTTTGATTAGGTTTGACTGCGCTGACTGTACCAAATTCAAGTTGTTGGTATTCGTTCGTACATTAAATTAAATTATTTAAAAAGTAGTATCCGTTCGGAATAGAAAAAAAATAAGAGTTGAATCAAATACCAGTGGTATTAGTTTTTGGTATTAGAATGGAATAAATCACTCTAGCCTAACAAGTTAAAAACTAAGATCTGTAAAGTACATTGTAAACGTACCTAATTATAATGTACCGTAAACCTAATTTTAGACATAATTATGTAATTAGTCCTATTTATTAATTAATAGCATATAAAGTACTACTTAAATATCGATCAATGTAACGAATACATGTCGACCAGGGAATCTGAGACAGGATCTGAAAATGAACCAAGTCAATCGTCGGTCGAAGACGCGCCACCTACCAGGATCCTCCCACGCTTCTTTAGGTTCAGTCAGATTTAATGCTACTCATATGAACTTGAGCACGCTAGTTAAGAGTGTTGCCCTTCTGGCCTTTTTCTAGAATATCTCCAATAATGTCAGATTACATTGTGATATCAGTCAAACCACTAACATAGCTTTGCTAACAAACATTTCAATATAGCTTTTATAATAATCCTTGTTTCTTCTACCAACTTAACCTACCACCGACTTAACCTACCCAGACCACCACAGATGGGAATCAATCAGCAAGAGTCTAACATTCGCCTCACCCATTCAGAAGAAGACATTGGATGATTTTCTACCTCAAAAAAGGTATTGTTGTACGCACAGATATATTTTTTAATATTTCTGTGGTTGTACGTGCTCTAATTCAGCATGCTAAAAGGCGGTTTATTGAGCACGCTTAAGAATATTCAAAAATCGAACGCCTGTCGATTCGCAAACATAAAGACAAGACAGAAGAAATGAGCATACCTACTCATTGCAACGTCCCACACATGTGCTACTAAGTGCCAAGGGCCCATTGAAGCATGCTTTCGTAAATTAACAAAAAATCGCGGATTACTCACGTGAATATACTGATATCGCGCAGCCTACTGATGATCGCCACGACCGCGCACGCTGCTCATGAGGAAGAACCCCTCTGTGGTTCGGAACTAGTAGAGCTTTTCTCAGTATATTCACGTGAGTAACCCGCGATTTTTAGTTAATTTAGTATGTCCCACGATAGTTATTATAAAAACATACTTCGTGATTGAAATTACCATGTATTTATTATGCACCGTTCCTATCAAGTAATTCATAAGACCTTTATAATCATGAGTTGTTCTATTTATAAGCAAAAGATGACTTTGAAAATTCCATTGTGATAGACGCTGACATTATGTGAGATACACATAGTTACTATGTATTGAAACACTTAATTGCCTGTATGTAGAATACTACATACTATGTCTCGTGAAGCAGTACATATAAATATCTAAATGATGTTCTCTCAGAAATTACAATTATTAAGTATCTTATCTTGAGATAAGATTTAGTCATAGAAATGTTAAGTTATGTATAAAAGATACCTTATAAGCATTCCTAGTTGATATATGACTAATTCTGAAAACTTTACACGAAAACAATACTTAGAATTTATTTACTGACCTATCTTGGAGTTAATATTTGCGTATATACTGTTTATATATTTTTTATGGAATAGGAGGCAAACGAGCAGACGGATCACCTGATGGTAAGCGATCAGCGCTGCCTATGGACACCCACAACACCAGAGGAGTCACAGATGCGTTGCTGGCCTTTTAAAAAGGAGTACGCTCTTTATATGAAAAGTGATACAGGATCCCAATTTTTTTAGAGGAGTGAAGTTTCAATGTAATATCTAGATAATTTAAAACAAAGAATAATAAACCCTGAGCATTGGGTTCTCGGTTGGTTTAACGTTTTTTCAGAGAAGCGATGAATAAGCGATGAGAATGTAAAAAGGGATTAGGTAAACTCCCTTTTAAGTAAATATGTACTAAACCGTGTAATCAAAATAATATATGACCCTTACAGTGTATCGTCGATAGCATAAACAAAAACGAATCAAATAAAGATAGTTAGGGTACCTTATTGTAATTATTTAAATACAAATGTTCATTACTTCCAGGAATTTTTACAGAAAACAAAATCTTATGAAATACCTACCAGAAAAAAGTAAACGTAAGCCAGGCTGAGTCATTAGTTCAGTACCTATAGGCTGGTGAATTTAAAGTTTAAAACAACATTATATAGTAGTGGAATGAAATCCATTGTAAAGGGAAGATAATGTCCACAAAAGATATGGAAAATAAATTATGGGCGAACTGGGGTCGGGAAAAAGATGAGTAGGCGTTAAAAGAAAAAAATTGGTTTATCGGGATTTGCGGATCAACTATAGGTCCTACAGAAAAAAGTTCAATAGCAAAGTTGTAGATACTGAAAAGACCTACAACTTTACGTTTACACTTTTTATACATCTTCAAATTATACGCGAAAAATTCGAAATGCTGGTTATTTGGTTTTTTTAAGTTTTATCTTCTTTGTTTTTTTACGAAAGTTTGTGGCGACGTGCTTTCTATGCTTTATTTTTGTATATTCCGACGTCTTACGACATCTTACGACAACTTCATGGTACGACAATTTTCTCAATAATCTATAAACAATTTATTTATAGTATTTATTTTAATAATTTATTTTATGTAGCAATTGTTCATTTTATTGCTTAATTACTGCATAAGTCCTTTTTTATAAGTATAGCTATATAAACAAAATTATCAAATACGTCATACCAGAAGTTGATTTCACAACCATAGTCCATAACTATTCGTCACATAATTTTAAGTATTTATTTAAGACAAACGCAAAGTGTAAGTTAATAAATAATTTACTATTTGAGGAGGGTTTTAAAGTAGTTGACATCGCACATGGTGTTTATGAGCTCCTATTGTATTTTGTAACTGTTCGAACAAAGATATATGAGTAAATTTAGTTTGTTTGATATACCTTCTCTTAGTTAGGTACTATACAAAATATGAAACAATAGTCGTACCGGTATTCTTTGACTTCATTTCTATTTCATCGTCGTGAACATTTACTTTACAATAATTATACTATTTTGAAGGTCAATCTATACTCATAGCAAGGAGTGGTTATATCTAAGATTAATTTGGCTTTTAAATAGGTACTGGTTTTACCTGTATTGATGAAGTATTTCAACATTGCGTGGCACTTATAGAAGAGATTGGCCTACATGAGGCATTATTATCAATAGATAAATACATACCAATAATATCTACAAAAAGATCTATTACAACAATAACACTGAACGCATTCCTGAATAACAATCTAAGTAAAATGTAATCCAAACTTTACATAATACTTACGCGCTTACAAAACAATAATTACCTAAAATAAACACTGGCAATATACACTAGAACACTCTGACACTAAGAAGTACCACTCGAAAACAGTCACTAGCTCATTTCTGGCACTTTTTTAAACAACAACGTCTGTGTTTGCTATGAAAGGTATTGTCACACTGTAGCTGTTATCAGATAGCAGCTACGATTAGTTAGCTGCCTATATTATCTTTGTTTTAATATGTACACGGGCGTAAATTGGCGGAACATTGCGTTTATCGTTCGTTATACTTAGTTGATTAGAATGAATTAGTTTATGGGTAATAAGTTAAAAACAATTTTCCTTAATTACTGGAATACTAACTATGTACTTCGCTAATTATTTGAATAAGGCTAGTCACATGATCACAAATGTCAAATTGCTTTAAGATCAAGCTATGTTTGATGTAGTTGGTCTGTTTGTACCTACTTCATCAAGTGAAGTTGCATTCTCTTCAACTAACGAATGTCTATGATAGTTATTAGAACTAGGAAAAGCCATCGGCGTCTAGTGCAGTTCATGATAAGATTAAGTAACGATCTTAATACATTTCCATAGTTTCATTAATGTATTATTAGATATATTTGTACCTAATTATATTTGATAAGTTGAAATAAATTACAACATTAGTGTGAAAAAAATGATTGCGTTGGCCAAATGGTCGCAAGTCACAGGACAAGGGGTTTCAGGTTCGATTCCCGGGTCGAACAAAGTATTACTGGGTTTAAAAAAAAATGCATGGGCTACATAACATAAATAGTGAAAAGTGGGTGTTACATTGCACTACTGTGCTATATGACTGCATTCAGTGCCGTAATGTGCACCTCTGCCTACCCCTTCGGGGATAAAAGGCGTGATGTTATATTATGTAGTGTGAAAAAAAATATTTGATAAGTTATTCTACAAAGTTTGTGCTTTGTAAAATCCTGTTCAAGACTGAAAGTTATTTTATTTTATAATTAAGAGGTATGTACGTCTCTTTATGGGATAAGCCGGAAAACGGAAAATAAAATATAAATAAATAAAACGCCGGAAAACGAGCAGACATAATAATATCACCTGATAATAAGGAATCGGCGCCGCCTATGGACACACGAAATATCAGAGGCGTTACAAGTGCGTTACCAGCCTTTTGGGGATCAGGAATTTTGTGGGGATTCCGGGATTGGGGAGTTTGGGAAGCGGGATAATTAGACCTCCAAATAACAAACTCACACGACGCTTGCGAGCGGTCGAGCTGGCTTATTCGTGCCGAAGCATGGTGTAGGACACTTACAGAATCTACAGCTGCAGAATAGGTAAAACGGTACACGGTGCCCCATTTATTATTAAATAAAAAGTATTAATAATAACACTCGTATCGAATAGTTTACTTCATTCATTCTTCATTTTGGAGGGTCAAGCTGCATAGGTCATTGATATATATTAAGAATATTAGTTATCAGAATAAATAGTGATTAGAAAATTACTATCAGGCTGCATCCAAAACGATGTTTAACAAACACGTTCGCATGACGTGATACATCGACTGTTATACAACTTTAACTATAATCTCTAGTAACTATTACCCAACTACACTAGTTAAATATAAACATAATAAAACTACATATAATATCTAGTTACTCTTATAATCACGCTTCATATAACTACGGACCCTGTCACGTTTCCTTATCTACAGGACACGGTGATTGCTTACGTATTGTGATAACTGATAACAATCATTGATAATCATATTGATTGGTTATCTCCACATATTTTTTAGCTAATGCAATTAGTTTATAGTCTGTGTTTGATAAACATTTTTCATTGATAGTGTTTGGGTCTGTCGGTAGATGGCGTTAGAATCTGAAATGAAACACTTCGGAGAAGCACGTCGGCGACGGGTTAAAGACGCGTTAAACGATATAAGTATTTATAAAATTGTAGTTTAAACAAATTAATAATATTAATAATTTAAAGTATTATTTAATAAAAAAAAAATTAAAGTTGGTGCAAAAAAATTAGCGCCTGATCCAACACTGATACTAATACCTTTTAAAACTAAAACTGGCTTTACTTATGTATATTTAGTCAGGCGTTCCTTCCATATATGTATCTATTTCATATACATATGTTGATATTAAATTGAATGAGTACGTATATGAATATGTATAATAATGAAAATGAATATTGTTTTTATCATAACTAATCGTGAGACATACTAAAGTAACTAAAAATAGCGGGTTAACTAGTTTCGAGCCACAGAAGGGTTCTTCTTCATGAGCAGCGTGCGCGGTCGCAGTATTTTCACGTGAGTAACCCGCGATTTTTAGTTAAAATAAATACCTATTGTATAATATGTATACAATTTATATATTTTAGTCCTTACACAAGATATCCGATCCGATATCTACTTCCTCAACCAACTATCGGAGTAATTTGTATATTGTGCGAGCGAGCAATAATTTCAATAAACTCTGTAAAAATTTTTCATTCGACCCATTTAACGCAAAACTTACTGTGGCACGGGCAGCTGAACCTTGATTTTTTTTAATTGATAGTGGGTACACCTATATGATCCTTAATATTTGGAGTAATTTGTGCATCATTATAGATTGCCTGTGGTTTAATAAGTTTAATAAGTAATTTTAGTACTGTTTCTACTCTCTGTTACTAATCGTGGAAACCAGTAATTGGCTTCTTGTTGCATACTACATTCTATTTAATCAAATTGTATAGCTGTTGGTTTTCCAAATGTATAAATAAATAAAGATACATTTTATATTAAGAGCAAGATTACGATTCAAATTCTCATTTTCTTTGTTTTTTCTACATCCAATTACATACTATTTTACTTTTAATAGGCAATTATTATTTTATAACCATTATTTAATGTGTGTATTATTCAGTCATAATAATTATAATAGCCTATATTTTATTTTATCATAATAATACTATAAAATATGTGAACGTTTGAGGCATTGTGTGTTTGTTTGTTTGTTACTAAATTACTTCAAAACGGATGAAAGGATAGGGATGAAATTTTGAGTAGGTATAGATTATGATCTGGAATAACACATAGTCTACTTTTTATCCCACAGGAAAGCGGGCAGAGGCTAGTAGATTTTATTATATCAATCTTTTAAATTAAATTGACTATTCTTGTTACGACCAAATAATAATTATGAGAACACGGATCCGGGTAGATGATTTTTTTCGCAGATTTTCTACTTAAACCCTAAGGTTGACTGCTAGACAATGGCATATGGCATTAAGTTCGCCTTATGTGCCATAATAAAATTGTGTACATAAAAGAATAAATAAATAAAAAATTGTCAAAACCTTATTAAACCTTTATTAAATTCAAATACCATATATTTATGATTGTTTCCGTATGTGTGTATGTGTGTGTGTGTGTCAGATACAAAATACCGTTCGATGACGTCACAGCAATATTGTCAAGCGAACCTTACTTTCACCATGTTTTGGCAACCTGGCACATTAAGTACCCATAAGTACGTAGATAAATAAAGATTTTTTTAAAACAAATATTGTTTGCGAATAAATTGGGCTCGAAGAGAACTCGTTTCTTTATCTTCCTTGCAATGTAAGAAAGAATACTAGCATTTCGTCTGCGGATTTACCTGCACAGTCAAGGAAAAAAGTAGCCTTTATCAGTCTCTTACGACATGAAAAAAAGTTAACTGCTACGTGTAAGAAACACAAACAAACAAACACATATTCGCATAAGCCTCTTCTCACACGGAGAATGTTTGAGCATTAATCACCACGCCTGCTCAATGCGGGTTGGCGATTACAAACTTATAGTTAGACATTATAAGCCCAGGTTTCCTCACGATGTTTTCCTTCACCGTTTGTCCGTGGTGTCTAGATAATCTTAGAAAGAACAAATAACTCGGAAAAAGTCACATAGGTACTTGCCGTTGGTAGGTTTCGAACCCACACCCTCATGCATGAGAAGCGGGCGTCCTGAACCTCCGAGCCACCACGACATTCGCATATACACATGATTTATATTTTCTACGTAAAGTGATAAAATGAAAAAGTACTGTTTGCTCATAAAATATAATGATTTCATAAAATATAATGATTATATTATACGAAGAAGGAAGCAAATGTCTCACATTTAATTGGTTATATTACTTAAATGTGGGAGAGCCATGCTTCGGCACGAATGGGCCGGCTCGACCAGAGTGATACCACGGCCTCACAGAAAACCGACGTGAAGCAACGCTTGCGTTGTGTTTCGTCGTGTGAGTGAAGCTACCGGAGGCCCAATGACCCTCCCTTTCCCCAATCACCCCAATCCCTGAATCCCCAACGATCCTCAAGTTCCTAATCCGCAAAAGGACGGTAACACACTTGTGACGCCTTTGATGTTCCAGGTGTCCATGGGCGACGCCGATTGCTTACCATCAGGTGATCCGTCTGCTCGTTTACCGAGTGATGCCATAAAAAAGGCCCATTTAAAAATTAAACAAAATTGTATTTCAAATATTTTGATTGGTAATTAAATACCTCTACAATCCAACGAGCTTAAAATTAAATGAATCAACATTAAAAAATCCAGTTTAAACGAGGAAGGAAAGGACTTGAATCTCAGACTTTCCTTTTACGTGATTTACGTCAATAGTATTTAGAACCATATTAAATTGATTTGCTATAAACAACAGTTAGAATCTATTACACACCCTTACGCACTGGAGAAATTTGATGACGTAGCATCATAGACTACACAAGATACACTAGGAAAATAGTTCTTAATGACATTAAAATATGGATTGGAGTTCATAAATTAAGAGGAAATAAATTTTTCCTGTACTGTGCGTGCATTGCGTATGTTTGTGTGACTGTACATACCCTTGGAGCAGTGACTGATGATAGTGACTGTCGTGATGACGACGTAGGCCTTCCCATCATGAAGGTTGAATTGTTGTTTTTGTAACTGATGATTGTAAACTTAAATGATAGATGGCTTCCTAATTTGGACAAATTTTATTCATTGTTGGTTTGGACAAATAGTGACTGGGATTTTCGAATTTGAAGTCTGAAATGAAAAATTGTTCTGTATTTAGCCAATAGATTCGTAACCTATTTCAAAGTCAAAGTAAAGGATTTATTTCAATTAAACTTATAATTTG